ATTTATTTATTTATTTATTTATTTATTTTAATAAATCAAGAGCGTTTCCCTGCATGCGTCATTTTACGCGCTGATGTCTTCTGCTAAAACATAAAATCTGATGATGATTTTTCATTAGAAACATTTCTGGGGGGCTTAAACCTGGAAGAAAGTGGGGCTTGGTGAGGTGGGCGGGTCCAGGTTGTAGGAGGGTCCTGCAGGGCCCAACGTGGGGGTCTGCAGGGGCCCAATAAAAGGGGAGGGAGCTGCAGAGGCTGATCAGTCGCACTGAGCAGGAAGCAGCTGCTCCAGGAACATGAAGCTGCTTCAGGAGACTGATGATGCGACAAACAAGAAAAAGGTAAAATCACTCCCAGCTCAGGCTGCAGGGACCTTTAATCTGAGGGTAGTTTGTGGTGTTTTGGTGACGTCACTGTTGAGCGTCCATTGCAGCAGTTAATTGTGGGTCACTCCCTGCAGATGATAAAGTCTCAGGTGGAGAAACGGCGCAGGGAGAGGATGAACCGGAGTCTGGAGCTCCTGAGGACCATGCTGCTGCAGGAACCTCAGCAAGTAAATGAAATGAAATCAAACTTGTGCATGGAACACAGAAAACGGTGAACGAATTCCGATTTGTGAGATTTGCTGTGTTCAGTTATTTCACACAACTTTTTCTGAGTTGGGGTTTTGAATTTGTTGCCTCGCAGAAAGAAAGGCTCTGGCTGGACTTCCAGCAGGTGTCGCTCTGTGTTTCAGTAGATGCATGGATGGATTCTGGTATTTGCAGAAATGCAGCTAAATTGTGATTTTTCTTTTGCAGTTAGTTCCAAACGGTACATTCAGCTGTTGTGTCTCACTGCAGGACGGGACGCAGCACAGGGTGGAGAAAGCTGAGGTCCTGGAACAGACGGTCCTCTTTTTGCAGAAAAAAGCCAAAGAACAGAAGAGTCCAGGTCCAAGACCCTCCTTCCAAGATGGCTTCTCCTCCTGCCTGCAGAGAGCTTCTCAGTTCCTGGGGCCCACAGGGAAGGGTCTCTGGATCGGGCCGGCGCTGGACGCGACCTTCGCCGGTCGTTTCTCACGCTCCCACGGTGAATCTGCAGCCGCTCCGAGCAGACCCCCCGGCACCTCCCTGACCCACACCAAGTCCATCCTCCAGATGCTGAGGCAGAGGTCCAAGTCCGGTCAGCCGGGGTGTGGCGTGAGCGGCGGCGCTCCTTCCCACCGACTCCCCGCAGTTCCCCAGCAGCCTCCGACACACGAGGGGCTGGAAAAGAGGGCAGAGAGACCGGAGACCAAAGAGAGCTCGTCCCAGAGTCCCCCCCTGACCCAAACTCTGTGGAGACCGTGGCCCTGATCACCAGGCTGAACTCTCAAACACTAATCCTTCATCCGTATAAGCTAGTGTCTTTTTTATGTTCTGCTGAATATCTTTGTATTTTAATCTTTATATAAGCTCCTGAGTGTGATGATGTTAAACTGAACTTGTGCATGTGCTGTAGTGTGTGTAGGCTCCTCTCCTGCTTAATGCTCAGTGTGGCAGCCAGGTGATCTGCTGGCAGGGATGAGGGCACTCTTTCACATGACCTTCAAGACCCTTCAACAGGTGAGTATGAGCTGCTTTAAGATTTTTATGATGCTGCTGTCACTGCTGCAGAGCGGGGTGGTGATGTGGGTAATGATTCATTGTCCGTTCATCACATTTCCAGGTGTTTGTGTTTGGAAGAGACCCTCATTTTCATCTCTGTGCCATGATGTCTGCTGGCATGAGTGGCATCTGTGGCTTTGTTCAATTTAACACACATCCTTCACAACAAGATATTCCCATGTCTTGTCTGTTTTGCACACTAATTTATTCTGGTTGTCTCCCTATGGTGAGCATTATTCTTTTTTTTTCTTAATAATTCTTAATTCTTTATATTTCTTTATAATAAAACATTTGTTACATTTAAAAAACCTGTGAAGTTTTTTTTAAAGTTAAAGGCCTTTTGTCTGCAGAGATTTAGGTGTGAAGCAGCTTGTGAGGCTCCAGCTGTGACGTCTGTAAAACAGCCGACTCTCTCACCTCAGTCAGGAGCACATTTGTCAGCGTTTGAAAAACAAACCAACGTCTAACAAGAGCAACTGTGTTTTCTGTAGGAACACAGTGTGAACACTGAATATCTCAAGTGAAACAGAACCTTAGCCTAAAATAAGAAAATGTTTGGAATGATTTAATTTTCCTCAGGAACAGTAAAGGTTAGTAAAGCTTTATAAACTAGCTGAGTACTAATAGCAGCACGACTAATATTAAATGTAGAAAATAATGTAGGTTGTCTAAAAGTAGCAAAAAAATAGCTAAATTTGTCAAAGGTTCAGTTATAATTAATAAATTTCTAACTTAAAGTGGAAATTGGTTAGCTAAACGCTGAAAGATTGAGCTAAAAGTAGCAAAACACAATCAAAAACCTAAGTGTTAGAAAATGCCTGCTAAAAACAAAAAATAGCCAAAGGCTAGCTAAAGTCTAAAATTAACAGAAAAGCTTAACAAAAAGTTAATTAAATGGGGCAAAAATGGAGCTAAATGTAGCCAAACTATAGCTAAATGTTGCAAATGTTTAGCTAAACGTTGCAAAGGTTTAGCTAAATGTAGAAAAAGTTTAGCTAAATGTTGCAAAACATTAGCAAAATACAGCAAACGTTTAGCTAAATGTGGCAAAAGTTTAGCTAAATGTGCAAAAGTTTAGCTAAATGTGCAAAAGTTTAGCTAAATGTAGCCAAACTTTAGCTAAATGTTGCAAAAATCTAGTTAAATGTAGCAAAGGTTTAGCTAAATGTTGCAAAAGTTTAGCTAAATGTTGCAAAAGTTTAGCTAAATGTTGCAAAAGTTTAGCTAAATGTTGCAAAAGTTTAGCTAAATGTTGCAAAAGTTTAGCTAAATGTAGCAAAAGTTTAGCTAAATGTAGCAATGTTTAGCTAAATGTTGCAAAAGTTTAGCTAAATGTAGCGATGTTTAGCTAAATGTTGCAAAAGTTTAGCTAAATGTAGCAATGTTTTGCTAAATGTTGCAAAGATTTAGCTAAATGTTGCAAAAGTTTAGCTAAATGTAGCAATGTTAAGCTAAATGTTGCAAAAGTTTAGCTAAATGTTGCAAAACTTTAGCAAAATACAGCAAACGTTTAGCTAAATGTTGCAAAACTTTAGCTAAATGTAGCAATGTTTAGCTAAATGTTGCAAAGGTTTAGCTAAATGTAGCAATGTGTAGCTAAATGTTGCAAAGATTTAGCTAAATGTTGCAAAAGTTTAGCTAAATGTAGCAATGTTAAGCTAAATGTTGCAAAAGTTTAGCTACATGTAGCAATGTTTAGCTAAATGTTGCAAAAGTTTAGATAAATGTTGCAAAGAAATTTAGCAAAATGTTGTAAAACTAGTTAAATGCAGGAAAAGTTTAGCTAAATGTTGCAAAACTTTAGCAAAATACAGCAAACATTTAGCTAAATGTTGCAAAAGTTTAGCTAAATGTTGCAAAGGTTTAGCTAAATGTTGCAAAAAATTTAGCTAAATGTTGTAAAACTAGTTAAATGTAGAAAAAGTTTAGCTAAATGTTGCAAAAATTTAGATTAGACTAAAATTAACAGACTGATGCTAAAAATAACCAAAACAATAAAGTAACAAAAGTAAAAAAAATAAATAAAAAATAAAATGACCATAGCAACATGGAAACACAGGAAAAAGGTTTAGCTGCTGTTCTGCTCTGAAAAGAGATGTTCTAAAAAAATATGGTAATTTATTCTAAAATACTGGGAATTAAAAGGCAATCATCAGTTAAAAACTAAAGTAAGAGTTGCTTTTATTTGTTTAAGTAAATAAGTAAAAAATCATGTTATTTTTTGCTCATCGTATTGATTATTTCAAAATAAAATATTGTCTCTTGTATAATTTGAACTGATTTCATAATAAAGGCTTTAAGACACTTTTTAAGTTCAAGTGTTATTCTTTTAGTTTTGCAGCTCTGGATTAATTTGAATCATTTTAAACGTCTCATTTAAATGTTTCTGAGCAGGACCCCCCCNCACACACACACACACACACACACACACACACACACACACACACACAATTACTCACATTTATTGTCCACGTGTCCATTGATGTCTTTTTCCCTTAAAATTTCAGTTTTATTCTTTTTAAATAAACATAAACACTTCTAACAAATATTTGTAAGGTAAAAACCGAGAACACAATGTAAAACTTAATGCAGTAAAAGAGCTAAATGTTATCAAATAATATTGATGAGAAATGAAGAATATGGGAAAGTTTTAACACTAAACGAACCAAACAAATTAAATGTTTGTTTTCAGCTCCAGTCCTGATAACAGACCTACTCTCTGCTTCTTTCTAGTGGGAAACAGAAGCAGAAGCTGCTGTTTGCACTTTTATCTCTTGGAGCTGCTGTGTGGGTTAAAGGAATGCATTTATGCCTTTTCACACACTTTACGCAGGATGGTGCTAATTGCGCGTCCTTAATACGCGCGTGAGAACGTTTGGATCCAGTTCTTCCGGACAAAATGTCCCTGTTCTGTCCACCTTCTTCTCAGCCGTCTGAAACAACAACAAATAAAAAAACTTCAGGGTCTGTTTTATAAATGTAAATAAGAAAAGTTGATCTAGGTAACGCTGGTTCCAATGGTTTGCGCAGTTTGTGTTTGGATTATTAAAAGGATCCTGCGCCATCTGGGCGCATGGATCAGACGCGCGTAATGACGCACGGAGAGGATATGAAATTTAAGAGATTCTGATTTATTTTTGACAATGTACTTTAAAAACCTTTAAATTAATACAATTAAAATAATCTCTGAAATGACTCCAAAGACAGAAAACAGTGAACATCTCCTCCCTCTGTCTCTTATTATGAAGCTAAATAATTTTGACGCGCGTGGAACAAATGGTGCAGTTTCTGTGAGCCGCAGCAGACCCACGTGTGGAGGTTGGAGCGGCTCCTCCTGCGCGTTCCCGTCTCCAGCATCAGTCCGCGGACATCAAAGTCTCTTCTGTTCCCATGGTAACGAGGTGACAAACCTCCATCGTTTGTCTCCCAGCTTCCTGCTGCTTTGGCGGATGTTTGTCAGCTCATAAATAAAAGGAACACGAGCCTTTAACACCCAACAGGCACGTGCTGTTCGCAGCTACTGGACCCTGCACGCGTCTTCCTCCGAGAGGAGGGGGTTCCTGTCGGGGTGGGGGTATGGGGTCCCCTGGACCGAAAGGTTTTGTGGAGGTAAGGTCATCATCCCAAACAGAACCTCCATAAACTGTTTGGTTCTTTTCAGCTTTTTGTTTTCATCAGTTTTCTGTCGATGGCAC